AAACAAAAGAGACAAAGTGTAATAAAGTGTAATACGCTAAAGTGTATTTCACGGGTTAATGAGAACCACTCTAAAATGTTTAATTGTAATAGAAAAATATTACCACAATTCTGTAGCAATCCTTTAACAGATCCCTACCCTGGTTCCAGAAGCTTGTCTTTTATTCTTTTGCTTACTATGTTATCGAGCTGCGAAGCTTGGCGAAAAAAAACAACAAACCCAATAACAGAAACTCGATAACGGCTCGATAATGTAGTAAGCAAAAGAATAAAAGACAAGCCTCTGGAACCAGGGTAACAGATCCCCTCTCCATATTTGTATTTACAATGTTTTTGGTTTGACCTGTATGGTCCTTTCTAGACTCCTTATGTTCATGAACTTGAAATGTAAAGCTGCTAATATTGTCATGTTATAAATAACAAAAACAAAGTGTATGATTTTAGTCTTATATTTCTATTTATTTGTTTATAGGAAATGCATGAAAGAAAGGCAGCATAAGATGGCATCAGCTGTTACAAGAAATACTTCAATTATTTACATCTAGCAAACAAATAAATTATATAATACTACATCATATTATAGTGCAGACATTTCATTTTTAGTACCCCTCAAATGAAATAAAAGAATATATTTGGCCAGTGACAAATTTATAATGAACTGATCAAAATAATCAGCCTATCTATTGGATTAAATTTCATAATATAAGCTGTAAAAATCATAAGATGAAGAATCTAAAGAATCAAGATTATATTGAAATCAGCTTGGAGATTGTGCTAGTTGCTAGTTGCTAGTTGCTAGTTGCTAAGTTCATATGTGCTAGTTGGTAGTTGGTAGTTGGTAGTTGCTAAGTTCATATGTGCTAGTTGGTAGTTGGTAGTTGGTAGTTGCTAAGTTCATATGTGCTAGTTGGTAGTTAACTGCTAGTTTCTAGTAAATTTATAAACCTACAAGTCCTGGATACGTCAGTTCCATGTGCACTTTATTGGCTTTTCAACTTCGAATCCTTTGAGGTTCGCATCACTGATCACAAGCCCTCTGATAAGTGCATTTTGATCAGATTTAAACTAACACTCTGAGAACGAGCTAGAAAGCTGGTGGTCTGGGGACGAGAACGTGAAGTCTTGGACATGCGTTGTCTTTTGCCGGAGAAGATCGTCTTTTCCGTTAGCCTCCTTTGCAGACGTTATTAGTATCGGTCATAAATTCCCTCAAGGAATGTATGACCGATACTAATAACGTCTGCAAAGGAGGCTACTTTTCCTCCGGAAGGTAAGACTATATTATAATTATTTTTTAAATGATTAAAACGCAGATCGTTTTCGAAAACTTAGCTTGCTTTTTCGTCTATGATGGGTGAGTCTTTTGTTTAACCTTCTCGTTTTGCCACAATAAAATTAGACTGTCAAGACGGTTTTCCATCTCTAAAATGAATTCTGCTATGTTTTCACATACAAATGAAAAAGGCTCTTTCAAGCAATTTAAGCTTACTGAGACAATAAGATAAAAAAAATTACGTTTCTTGAAACTGTAGTAACAGCTTTAATGACATGATACATTATTTCATGGTCCGGGTTCGATTCCCGGGCACGGACCATATGTGAGTTTGAGTTTGTTTGATGTGTTGTTCTCTCCCTTGCCACGAGGGTTTTTCTCCGGGTCCTCCGGTTTTCCTCCCTCAGCAAAAATCAACATGTGAGGAGTGTTGTGTGCTAAAATACTTAATGTAGAGGTAGTGAGTGTGAGAGTACAGGCCCCCATTTAAACCAGCGTACGCTGAACTGGGTGGCCTGGTAAAATATCGATTATTTTTTTTATTTTATTTATTTATTTATTTCATTGAGGGCGGCCTTGCAAGCTTAGTAGATTCCATTAGTAGAAAGTTTGAAGTGTGCTGATTCGGCCGGATAAACTTCAGCGAAAGTTGACGAATACTTTCTATTCTTCAGTGAATCTTTTTTTTATTGATTGATGCAAGGTTTTTATTTTTATGTTTCTCTAGACAAATCGGTGGGAAAAAACCCGAAAGATTATATTGTTTTTTCTTGGATGCGAATCTTGAAGTTTTGAAGATGTTCGACTGTTTTTTCGAATCAAAGCTGAGTTCGCAGTCGTTCTTGTTTTTAGTATATAGTTGGCTTCTCTGCTTTCCAATTCAGTAAATTTTTCAATGGTTACAAATAATGTGTTCTAAATAGCACGAGAAAAATCTATGATTACTTTTACAAATTCTTGAATGAAATTGGGTGTCCAACAAAGTATTTACTTATAAAGTAAAAAAATGATATCCTTAATTTTTTACAAATTTTCTATATTTTTTTATTATAATTGATTTTTCGCATTATTTCACAAGCAACTAGCAACTAGCAACTAGCAACTAGCATGATATCCTGTCTCTATTGAAATTATTGAGAATGCTCTGTTTATTGATTTTTATTCTTCGATTATAGTTATTATTATAAGAAAAGTATGTAAGTAATAGGATCAGCTAATTCCTCATATGATTATAAGAAAAGTATAAATGTCATGTGTGTATAATAACTTAAATTTATTGATGATCGAGTTAGTCAACAAATGCCAAGCTATAAAGATTCTATGACTGTGTTCACTGCCTATTGTGGCTGGCTCTTCATAGCCCCAGATTGTTGGGATCGAACCCTTTTCCAATCTATGTCTTTTATTAACATCCCGTCAAAGTAAGAAGACTTTCGACTCCTTCGATCAAAGAAGCCGTTGAAATTGGCGCGGTGCAATGGCACATTAATCGCTTCCACTTTTCCAAATCAGACTTGTTACTCGGTGATTTGTGCACTGACAGTCCTATCATGAGATTGATTATCTATCTACAGCCCAAAACTAAGCAACGCCACAACATTTTAACGATAAAGTCTTGTTTCTAATAAGTATTTGCCTCGTTAATTCGCGATGTGTTGGACCTATGACGTCACTGGTCCAACTAGACCCATTCTCCTGAGCCAAATCGATGAWCAGAGAAAATAATGGCGGACGAAAACTAAATCGTAAATATGT